TAACAGTAACTCAAGTGATACGGAATACTACATTTACCATCTCACCTCAGGCAGAGGCTGTTATTCTATTCCACAGAAAAAGAATGAGGCTTGGGAAGTTTACATTCCTGGTGAAGGTCCCATATACAGAATGTGACAGAACTAAGACCCAAGCCGTCTTGAGAGCCTCCCCCTGTGGCCTTCCCAGTTACTTACACTCCTGTTTACATTTCTCTCCACCTCTGCCCACCTATCCACCATCATACACTTGGGGAATAGGATTCTGGGCACCGACCATCCTCTATGAACAGGATGGGAGAGTACTAGGGAGCAGGTGAACACAAATGCACAGCATGGCAAGGGGGAATGGAACTTACTTTGGGAAATTTGTCAGGGGAGGTGGCATTTCAACACAGACCTCAAGAAGGGAGGGCTAGAGATATGAGACTTGATTGTGAAGCCTTCCAGACAGAGGGGAGCAGCAAGAGTAAGGAAGGAACAGAGTTGTGGAAGGAACTGCACATGTAGGCAGAGGACATGAGCTCAGACAGTTCTTGAGAGATGCTGTCATCCAGGTCACATGAGGTGCTTTTGTGAAAATTAGGACTCCTTGGGTGGTACAAATGACTGTTCAAACCCACGAGTTGGAGATTCAAGTCCAGAGCTGCCTCAGAAGAAACACCAGGTGATCTGCTTCTAAAAAATTAGCCACAAAGAACCTTATGACACTGCATTGCAATGGGCTTATTGTACTCATAAACGTGACCTTTCTGGCTTTGGGTTTGTAATTCTACCAAAATGACTGACGAGGCCACAATCTTGCCAAGGTACTGGGTAGTTTGTAAGGTACTGGGTAGTTTGTTAGGCAAACAGGGTGGGAACCAACCAATAGGAAAAAATGACCTTGCAAGAAACTGGTCAACAACTATGTAAATTAAGTCTGGACCATGCTAGAAATGGACAAGGATCAAGCTTACATAAAGGCCAAGCCCAGGAAGCTTGGGGAGGGGCTATAGCACCATCAAGAAGAATTTGGGGCTGAGCACCTCCTAACACAAGAGACCACATGAGATACTGAGAAACTGCAGCAAGCATGGAACAGCAGCAGCAGACAAACTAGCTGCAGGAGACTGGTTTGATGCAACGTTGGTGTTGGCCTGGAGACTGAGGGGGTGTGCTGGCAGAGTGGGGTGACTCTAGACACTTGTCCACAGAACTAGAGAGGACAGAGGCCTAGCGGTGGACACAGTCGACAGAAGGGCTGACTGCCTACAGACATGGCCCAAGTTGATCCTGATACGGAGCTGAAGCCTCTTACTGTCCCTAGTACAGCACACAATGCGGAGGATGCTCTTAGAGTTGTGTGTGGACACTGCAACGAGTTGTCAAACGCAGCAGAGAAGAGGAGAGTGCTGAGGGCAGAAAGCTGGTGTCAGAAAGGATGAAAATGTGCAGTCAGTGGAGGTACGTGTGACCTCCACCTCAATGGAACCAGCTTTGTGCTGATGGTCGTTCTCATCCTGCCTCTTGATGCCAGACAAGATTTGAAGATAACTCAGTTCTCCTGACACATGTGGAGTCACCATGCATCAGACATGACTAGAAAGTAAGTGGGTAGTTGTGTGTATGTGTGGAGATTATAGGACAAGACCATGTTCTTCAATACCCCTAACTCTGGGAAGACCCGGCAGAGGCAGAGCTGAACAGTCCTGGTTGATAAGTGAACCCTGGAACGATGGTGTGCGGCCTTCTAGTTTTTGTTTTTACTGTCTCTCTGTCTCTAAATATGAGTGTGTGCAATGCACAGATGCAGATCTAGACAGAATCTACTGAGCCTTTTCCTTTACTGGGGG